CAAACTTTTGGTGTTTTGGAGAACAAATCCTCAAATCCTCAAAGAAGCAAAGGAGCACTAAAAGGAGGAAAATCAGAAGGAATATCCAAGGAGCTTGGAAGTGACTTGAAGGCCCTCCACTTGGGTGAATCCCTTGTGTAAACAAGGATAAGCTTCAAGGGTAAAGAAATTCTAAATCTTTACTTCTCTTTAATGTTGTTAAAGAGTTTATTGGTTCACCATATACTAGGCTTTGAAAGTCATGGGTTTTATGAATTGTTTTTGAATGCATGCCTACTTTAAAGTGTTAATAGTTTGCATAAGTATTCAAATGTTCTTACTTGTTATTAGCTAGGACAAATTTTTTCCTTCATATTGCCATATAGGTCATAGTAGTGACTCCGGCTAGATTGAGTTTGAGCTATGAATTCAGCTGTACAGACTACCACAAGGGTTCCGGCTAACGTATTATATTTCTATGAAATCATTCTTACCTGAATTGTTTACTTTGTTATATCTTGGCATGGCATGCATAAGTTTATGATTATGTGAAGCATGAAATGATTTGATACGCGTTCATATATATATTTATGTATATGCTTATATCTATTTTCTGGGAAAGTAACCATATACTTGTTTTACAGAGAGGGGTTATTATATTTAAAGGAAAATAAGGTTTTCATATAAATGTGTTTTACTGACCCACTCAACTTTGTTTTTGCCCCTCCAGGTCTTAGATAGCAGAGTTTGGTGGCCAAGAGGACTCCAACGGTGTTCTGACAGAATCCGAAAAAGTAGGATTCACCTTTGGGTGTTGTATTTTAGCAATCATCCTACTCGATTGCAACTAGAAACTCTTATTGCTCTGAAAGTGTATTTATCCACTTAAACTCTCATTGGCATCCTTTCTTAATTGGGATTGTTAGTTAATAGGTTTTAAATTGTTAGTATTTCTCTTTCTCTTTATCGCTTCCGCTTTGCGCTCATGGCTACGTCACTCTCACGTGACGGCCAGCACGTCTCGACTCCGGTCGGGGTGTGTCAGTAAATCTCTAGGGTTTTGTGTTTAGAAATCTTATAAAGAATTAAAGATCCATAATCAGTATAAGTATTTTACTAATATGATTATAACAACACAAAGCTTGTTGTCAAGTTGGCTGAAGCAAGCACTCTCAACCTGGAGGTAAGAGGTTTGAAACAGTTGGCCTCTAGATTTTAAGTATTTGTTACAAATTTATATAATTAATATATATTAAATAATTAAATAAATAAATAAAAATTGGTTCGGTCCAGTCCAATTTCTGGACCACCAAAACTGAAATCGAACCAACCTATTTCGGTTCGGTTTGGTTCACTTAGTTCAGTTCGATTTTTTTTGGCTTCAGTTCGATGTTTGACTAGATTTTTTTTCGGTTTTTGATTTTTTAAACCCACCCCTAGGTGTAGTGCCATGAGCAACACGATTTCTTTTCCATGTATGGTTGATAATTATATGGGTTGTTTAGATATAAGCCCATACAATCATATACCTCGGATAAAAACCCACCTATGAATAAACATCTAATAAAAATCCAAAATTTAAATAAATTGCCACATAAAAAAATAAGTAACCTATTAATATAAGTTATTTACAATGTATGCCACAACTTTCTATAACCGTTCTCATACAACCATTATTAGTCAACCATTATGGATAACGTTTTTAACATTTCTTTTATTTGTCAAATAATGAATTATTATAATGCACTACCATATGTCCTAACTATATGACTTTAGATAAATTATTTTGTGAATACAAAAACATATATATAGTAAAATAAAATAGAAGATACATTTTTTGAAAAGTTAAATTGCAGGTAAATTATATTCATATATATATATATATTATATATATATATATATAAATATATAAATTGTAGATACACCGTTGTTGTAAAAAAAGGGAAATTTTTTAATATAAAATTGTATAGACATTATTGTCACAATAGGTAAATTAGTTTCATATAAAATTAAAAAGTAGGTAAATTATATTCATACAAAAATAAAATTGTGGATACGTTATTGTTAAGTAAGAACAGGTAAATTTTTATCCTAAAATTTGAACAATAAATAAATTATTTTTGTACATACATTAATTTTTTAAAAATTAAACAATAGGTACATCATTAGCTTCACAAATTATACACAGTAGGCAAGTTATTTTTGCTAAAACTAAACAATAATTAAATTATTTTTGAAGATACATTAATGTTGTAAAATTAAATAATGTTGTAGTCCTATTAGATTAGGAATGTGATTGTGTAAATCCTAGTGTATATAGAATATCTTGGAATATTCTCCTTTGTAGATATTATCCTATTAAAGTTGTAATCCTATTAGGGTAAGGATTTAACCTATCCTACTACTATAAATAAAGGCACAATGGGGTGATACAACACACACCTCAGAATTACATCTCTCTCATCTCTCTCTCTTGCCGTTGGCCCTCTCCTTCTCTAGTCCTAAATACAGTTCAGTCAATTAGGCATACAACACGTTATCAGCACGCTATTTCCAGAAGCTAAGGAACTCAAGGATCATAGGAGGAGGCTCTTCTACATAATCAAAGGCTTAATCGTTTTTTGCGAATGAGGTTCTTTTAAAATAAATTAAGATATTTGAACGACCTTGAATGTGACAGCCCGTCCCGCATTAATGTTCTCGTAAGTGTAAGGTTAATGTATTATCCTTAAGCGTTTTAAAGACTTAGAACTTTAGGGTTTGTTTAGTGCCTTAAATTTTTGTTAAAGTTGGACGGTTTGTATGTTAGTGTTTGAATTATTGTAACCTTTGTACTGTGCATACACGGGTTACACATTTCTCCCCCTTTTTCATTGTTCTCCCGGGATTCCCTCAATCATACTCCCTCTTTCCCTCAGTCCTGCTCCCTCAAACTCATCCTCATTCTCTCTCTCCCGACAAGCTCTCTCTCACTCCCTCTCCCTTTCTACACTCACGGCAAAACAACAAGACTCTCAAAAATTTCACAGATCGAAGAAAATAAAACCACAATCGTCTTCGTCTCGACGATACGAGTCCAACCATACCTATTTCAGGTAAGATCTCTAACGTTTTCACGTCGAAATCACGAGCACCGATTTGGGTACTATTCATCAACTTTTTATTGGTTGATTTTTAGGACTTTTCAAGCTTATAGGAAGCTTCTTGAGGTCCTTAGGAGGCTCGGGGTAGTTCGTTGGAAGTTTTTGGACGTAAGAACACGGAGATCGACAAGTTCAAAGTTTGGCCGGAGATTTCGAGGCTTTTTCCGGCAAATCCCCAGCGATTTAGGGGTCAAGGTAGGTATGAATGTGTTCGTCTCATCAATATCTTCATTTTGATATAAAGTACTTTGAAAATGGTGAAGAAATGAAGAAGTTATGACGTTTTGAAAAATACCCAGAAATTCCGGCAAAACCCCGCCGCCGGCGAAACCAGTCTGGCGACCCAAGGAAGAAGACGACGCGCGTGCGTGGGCCGAGCTGTTGGTGGCGCGTGAGGGCGCGTGCGGTGTCCAAATCGGGTTCTAAAAATTGCTACGTGTAGGTCACGGTGGTATATTCACATACCCAAATTGAGCAATATATGAGAAGTTATTAGCGAATGTTGTGTATGTGCTTTTAAATGATGTTTGTATAATTATTCTTTTATAGGTGAGACTTATACCGAGGAGGAAAGTAACCAAACTAGGCGTGGGGGTTACGAACCGGCTACTTATCAGTGAGTGGGCAGTTATTTTTCAGTATATATATATGTATGCTTGACGTTTTTCCCAGAAAACGTATTTAAAGGAAATGTGATTTAATTATCCTGTCATATATGCATCATATTTTAGTATGTGCATTATTATAATTATGCATATTGTTGCATGGTGCTGAGGAGGCCCAGGTAAGCTACATGTGAGTATATTATGCTAGTAACGATTATGAGATACGATGTTGGTTATGATTGAGATATAATGAATTATATGATTGAGATATGATTGAGAGCTCATTCACTTGCACACGTATATTAGTGCTCCCGCCCAGAGTTAGGGGCACAGTCTTTCACGTGATGTTCACCTCCCGCACCGCATGCTCGCCTTGGATCCAAGTTAGGTGCACAATCCTGTCGTATAGACACTTTTAGTGGGTTCGACTCGTAGGTGACCCACGATTTATCGCACAGTCTTCACGTGATTGTAGCACTAGAGCATATTATGTTATATACAGTGATGAATTGCAGACCATGTGAGGTGGTATTGAATGTGTGCAAGATATACATATATATACATGATGTGATGAGATGATTATGAGCTATATGTGCAGCTGAAGGCTGAGTTGATTATAATGAAAGAGTATGAACTATGTTTATAGCCGAGTGCTGAATTGATTATATGTTATTCCATCATATTCACTTAGAGATAACGAGCATTCAGTTATGATACTTTGGCATGACATACATTCATATTGTCTAGCATGATTTGAGATATAGTACGTATATGAATATATACTTTATTTCTGGGAAACTATACTTGTTTTACGGCGAGGGGTTAGTATATTCAAAGAGAAAATAAGGTTTTGAAGAAGTTTGTTTTGCTGACCCAGTCAACTTTGTTTTGCGCCCCTCCAGGTTCTAGGTAGCGTTTGTTGTTGGATCTCGAGGTTTCCAGCTGAAGTTCTGACAAACCATCACTCATGTAGGATTATCTTCGAGTGTTGTAAATTAGTACATCTTATGTTCGACTGCACTTAGACCTTGTGCTCTGGTTGTGTATTCACACTTAAACTTATCTTATAACCTATGGTATTTGGTTTTAAATTATTCGTACTTTCCTTAAAATATCGCTTCCGCACTGCGCACATGGCTACGTCACGCTCACGTGACGGCCAGCATGCCTTGACTTTGGTCAGGGTGTGTCAGTTTGGTATCAGAGCCCTAGGTTGCAGTCCTGCATATTTTGTGAACTTCCTTAATTATTTTTGGTATCTTCTGTCAGAACTATGCCGCCTCATAGAGATCCACGTACTTCTTCTGAGCCTGGTTTTCCCGATATCACTCAGTTAGGGGAAGCCATAGCCAATGCCATTCAAGCTTCACTTCGCCCTTTTCAGAAAACTCCTTTAGAGGCAGTGTACAATTTGAAATTACCTACTTTTATGGGTAATGAAGGACATGAAGGGGCCGAGCGATGGCTTGAGCATGTAGAGAAGACTTTTCGGGTTATGCAGAGTCAAGGCAATCTCCTTGCTGAAAGGTGGGTTGAGACTACCACTTGGTTTTTGGGTAAAGAGACTGCATCTTGGTGGGAACAAGAATCTCGTGGATGGTTGCCTGAAGAGGTAGCAAATTGGAAGAATTTTAAGGATTCGTTCTATAAGATGTTTATTCCTCCAGCCTATCTTGACCGAAAGAAGCAGGAATTCATCAGTTTGAAGCAAAGAAAGATGTATGCTAATGAGTACTATCGGAAATTTACCGATTTGTCTCGATATGATTCTGAAATTGCTGCTAATCCTGTTGAGATGCTCAGACGTTTCAAGAGGGGTACTAAAAAGAAGTGGCGTTCCATGGCTACTATTGCAAGCTGTACCACTTATCAGGAGTTTTATGAGGTTCTGTTGAACATTGAGGATTCAGAAAATTTACCCAGTGACAGTGAAGAAGAAGAAAAAGATAAGAATCAAAAGAGAAATGATAAGGGTAAAGGTCAGTTTTCTCAAGAACCTAAGAAAGCACAAAGTTTCAAAAGAAGTGGTATGGGCTCGAGTTCTTCTAGTGGAGGTTTTGGTTTCTCAGATCAAAGGCGTGGAGGTAGATTTTATGGAGGCCCTAAATTCCAGAGACAGAGAGGTTTTGGTGGTTCTGGAGGTTCAACTGCTCCTCTTTGCCGTAGGTGCAATAATCGACACTTTGGAGAATGTCGTCGAGGTAGCAGTGGGTGTTATACTTGTGGTCAGATGGGGCATATGGCTAAGTACTGTCCCCAAAGCCAGTAGAGACCTCAACAACCTTTCATACCACAGCCAGCTCCGACTCAACAGCCTTTTGTGTTTTGCTGCACACGCACGACACCTAGCCTTCAGCCTAGTAGGGTTTTTTATAGGCATGCAACCTCAACCCACTTCCAAGGGGCCTGCAACTCTCAATAAACTTGTCCAATGCGTCTCTGGCCTACAGACCAATAACCTTATGTTCTTGGGCCTCGTCCCTTGCCCTAGGCTCATTTCCAGCAAGCCTGCGTTGCTTGCTAGGCTTTGCCAACCCTCAGCCTAACCTGCCAACAACTTTAGAGCTGCTGAGCTTATACTGTTGTAGACATGAAAATTTTTTTACATACAAATAATGCATCACAAAGCTTCACGCGGTGTATGACTCATCACAAATGAACAAGTCATCAATGACATTTGGCACAAATTAAGCAAAGGAAGTACAAAACCTTCCTAAAAGTCGGCTAAAGGGAGAAAATCCCTTTCAAAATCGGCAAGGGGTCCAAGTTGCTCCCAAAATCAGAAAGAAAGTTAAAGCATCTTCATAAAACAAGCAAGAATTGAAGATTGTTCACAAAATAGGTAGTAAGCCCTATAATTCGGCCAAGGTAAGGGAAAGTGGCTGAAATTAAGACACAAAACATGCCTAAATTCTCCCATGGACGAATCAAGACACAAATCAAAGCCAAATCCATCCAAGGGCAAGCTTTAAGAAGTCTATAAATACAAGGTCCTTAGACAAGTAAAAAGGTCGGCAATTTTCTACATTGAAGGGGTCAACAATTTCTACATTCAAGGTGGACCATTTCTACATTCAAGGGGGATCATTTCTACATTGACGGGCCGAAATTCTCACAAAAGGAGAACCTCTGCCAAATCTTTGAAGACTAATACGTTGCCAAAGCTCTATTCGAAGAACGCACAACCAAAGCCGAAGCACTCCATTGAAGAATCAACAAGAACTCGTGCTGATTCCTTCAAGACTTTATTGCAAGCTCAAAACTTGTAATGATGTTCGATTCAAGATCAAGTTGCCAAGACCCTTGAATCAACAAAATCCTACATCAACACTACCTTTGCTACAACTTTAAGGTGAAGACCATCCAAGCATCGTTTCAAGCTCAAAACTTGAAGCAATTTTTCAATCGTTTGTCCGAGATCAAGTCATCATGACCCTTGGATCAATGATAGACGCATATTTATGCGACTTAGTTAACTAGTTTTCTTGCATTTACGTTATTAGTTCTTAGTTATTTTAGTACTTTAAGCCATTTTCGTGTGTTTGTAGGTCCAAAGGGTTAAGGTAGCAAGAAAGTGCATTTTGGTGCATTTTGGAGCAGTTTTGAGCTTGGAATGGATTACTTATGATATGAGCAAGATGGATGGACGAATTTGAAGAAAAAAAGAGGCTAGGAACATGCTAAAAATCTGGTGAATCAAATACAAGTTGCAAGAAGGGATAAATTTCTAGAAGGATTGGCCAAAACTTCACTCAAAACCATGCATACCCCATAAAATTCATCAATGCCGTGGCCTTCCCTTTGTTTTACTTCCACCAGATTTTTTAGTGATGATGCAATGCCTATCTCACTATGACATTTGAGTGGATGATGCAATGCTTAACTCACCATGACATGTGAGTGGATGACTCAAAACCTACCCTCACCAACAATTCTCCACCTTGCCATGCCTTACCTACTTCATTCCACCAGATTTTTGCATTAAACATGTCCATCCTCTTCCTATAAATACCATGGCAGCAACCTCATTCAAATCATCCAGAAATTAACCATTCTCCAAGCCTTTCCTTGCCTCTCCTACATATCTAAACCCCTTCCCATCCATTCCTCCAAATAACCAACCCTTCAACATCATTCCAACCTTGTTGTTGCGGCAAGGAGTAGGAGAAAAGTCCTTGGACGCACTTGCTATCCAACATGGATCGTTGGAACGTTTAGGTGCTTTCTTCCCTTTTGTTTTTCAATGTTTAAATTTGTTTATCTTTGTTTTGTAATAATGAGGAACTAAACCCCCCTTGGCTAGGGGGGGATTCGAAATACATGTTTATGCTTGCGTTATGATTTGATTACTTCTAATTGCGTTTCATAAGTTGTGAATTCAATTTACTTATCTATGTGAATTACATTGATTTGTGTGTGTTGGTTGAGAGTGCACGCTTAATTATCATGCATAAATTGAATGCTAGGATATAAGGAAATTTCACCTAATCGTTATGGAATTATATTCACAAGTAGTAAAGGTTGATGATCTCAATCGCGTTAAGTAAATTCTTGGCATAAGTTTCATGCAATCATAGTAACAAGTGCTTCGTTAATGCTTATGGTTTTCATAGAATTTAATGATTCTTGCTTGTATCTCTATTATGCAATCATGTAGGGGACTTGTGGTGAATGTTTTGGGTTGTCGTATGCAATCATCCAATTCAATAACGTTAGGAAAATCTGAAGGTTAATTTAAGCGGACCTAATTAACTTGGGGCGTTGAGAATTCATGGTTTATTGAAATGCAATTGGAAATCGTTTTGTATGCAAGTATAACATGTGTGGAGATGAAACCCTTAGCTAGCCTTCCATTATCCATTCAACCCAAAATTGTTTAAAATCTATTTAAGTTTTTAGTTTATTCGTTTTTACTTTCAACTTCACCAAACTCAAATCCCCCTTTTACTTTCTTGTTTTAAAATCTTTTGTTTACATTTTTAACTTTGTTTCTTTTTGTTTTTGAGTCAGTTTAGAGGTTTTAGCAAGCCCTCCTAATCCCCGGTTTAGAACGATCCCTACTTACATACTTTGCTACAATTGTCAAAAGAGGGTTTAATTTGTGTGCTTATATTATTCGCATCAAATTTTGGCGCCGTTGCCGGGGATTAGCAACTTTGCTAAATCCCCATTGTTTCTTTTTATTTCTTTTTTTGTGTGTTTTAATTTTAGTTTTAATTTTATTTTGTTTATTTCAGGTACTAGTTTATGACTCGTAGTTCTCAACCAGTTCATGCACATATATCGGAGTTTGACGGCAATTTTGAACGAACTTTGAGAAGGAAAAGGAAAGTACCAGAACCTAGCCCACCTAGTTCTAGTTCTGAATCCGAATTTGAAGAAAAGGAGGAGGTAGAAAAAGACATGGAGGTGGACAATCGAACAATCAAAGAACTTTCAGCCTCGGGATTGGACAATGCTGCGCCTCTATGTATCCAATACCCCGCAGCAGCCCGAGGAAAGACAGAAGAATTTGAATTGAAGTCAAGCTTGTTACACCACATTCCGAAGTACCATGGGTTGTCCATGGAAGATCCTAACAAACACTTGAAAGAATTCGAGGTGGTGTGTTCGAGCATGACCCCCGTAAATGTCAATGGGAGTATTTTGAAGATGAAAGCCTTCCCTTTTTCTCTCTTGGAAAAGACGAAGGATTGGTTGTACGAATTGGCGCCCGGAACCGTCACATCATGGGAAAGCATGAAACGGGCCTTCTTGGAGAAAATTTTCCCAACTTCTTGAGTCATCCTCCTACGGAAAAGGATAAGTGGAATTCAACAAGAGGAAGGTGAATCTTTTCCTACTTATTATGAACGTTTTAAATCTCTTGTTGCTTCTTGTCCACAGCATCAGATGAAGGAGGAACTTCTTTTGCAATACTTCTACGAGGGGCTACTACCTATCGAACGTCAAATGCTAGATGCCTCGGCGGGAGGAGCCTTGGTGGACAAGACCCCCACGGCAGCAAAGACTTTAATTTCCAACCGTGCGTTGAATGCTCAACAATACGAAGGCGTTGGACAAAGGAGTAACCCACGACCACATCAAGTCAATGAGGTAAGTGCCATAACCGAACTTCAAAATCAAATGGCTAACCTTACTACTTTGCTTTCTCAGGTAGTGGAAGGTCCAAAAGTGCAAAACGTGGCAGCTTGTGGCGTGTGTTCCATGCAAGGCCACCTTACGGACAAGTGCCCACAGTTGATAGAAAATGGAGGGTGGGAGACCCTCAATACCGTGGGATTTGGCAACCAATACCAACCAAGGAATGACCCCTTTTTCCAATACTTACAATCCCGGTTGGCGTGATCATCCCAAATTTCAAATGGCGAGAACCCTAACAAGGCCAACAACAAAGCGGATTTAGGCAACAACCCCCGGGTTTATCAAAAAAAGCCGTTTGCAACCACCAACTCAACCCCAAGCACACAACCTGCCCAAAAATCAGGTTCGTCTATTGATAATGATCAAATTTTTAATTTACTAACTTCTATGGCGCAGGGAATGCAAAATAGGGACAAAAAGGTGGACGAGTTGGAGAAACAAGTAGGGCAAATTGCCGAGTTTGTTGGGCAGTTTAGAGAACAAGGCAAGCTTCCTAGTTCAACCATTGCGAATCCAAAAGGAGGCTTTGAAACCGTCAATGCAATCATGTTGAGAAGTGGTACACAGGTTGGAGCCAAACCAAAATCATCCAAATCAAGTCACGATGAGGATGAAAAGTTGCTACAAGAGGAAGCACAGGGACCAAAACTCACAGCCAAGGATGAACAATCCTTGCCACCACCATCTAGCCCTCCTAAGCCGTCCCAAACCACCAAGGTAAGTCCAAATTCGACTTTTTCTAGTTTCCATTCCACTAAATGTGCCCTTTCCTGGCAGGTCCTGGCAGGTCAAAAGGCAATCAAAGAGGAGGAAGAAAGTTCTAGAGACCTTTCGGAAAGTTCAAGTCAATATTCCCGCTCCTTGATGCAAATTAAGCAAGTCCCGAGGTATGCTCAGTTTTTAAAAAGAACTTTGTACATCAAGGAGAAGGATTTCGAACAAAGAGGTGGTCCAAGTAAGTGAGAATGTTTCTGCCATGTTACAAAGGAAATTACCCCCTAAATGCAAAGATCCGGGTAGTTTTACAATTCCGTGCGTTATTGGCAAGACTAAGTTTGAACAATGCATGTTAGACTTAGGGGCTTCGATTAATGTTATATGCCATACTCTATTTATGCATCTATG